CAGTGAAAACTGTGGGTGAGGGACAAAGGGTTTTGAGTGTGTCGGTTAGGGTAAGAACCACTTTCATACCCAACGGAGCACCGCAGGTGCCCAATATCATCGCATGACATTGAGCTTATGTGTCATTTGAACCAAGCCAAAATTTAAATTTCTGAAAACTGAATGAGAACTTTCTGCATGGCTGCTAGTTTCAAAGACCCACAATGCATCATTATAATATAGGGCTGCATCATTTTAAGTTCAATGGTCTAAAATGACCCCCTTAGTGTTTCTCGATTTATTGCAGTACAGTGACAGCTTGAATATTGGAAGATGTGTAGCATAGCTTAGGGCGTGCACCAAAGCATAAAACCTCCTCGATATAATTGCATAAAAATAAATGCAATTTGTATGTGTATCATTTTGGCACAAGTGCACAGCATCATAGATACGTAGTTACTATTTTAATGTTTATACAAAAGAAAACGAGCATTACTTGGCCGGGCAGCTAGACTTGACAACAAGCCCTTTAGTGATTAATGTTTTCATGCAGCTCCATCCACTATACCATTCCCTTTGCGAGCTTCCAATCCCTGGTTTCCCTCTCCCTTTCTCAGGTCTTAGAAAATTAGCAGCAGAAGATAATTTAAGGACATCTAATTACTTGTAGAATATATATGAAACCAGTTAACAGACAAAGTTAACAATAAGAAACTATGTAAATGAGAAATCATTACCCAACTGGTACACGAGAAAGACCACTAGCTTCTGCAGCATCAATCAGCTCCTGTTTGCGCATAAACTCCTTTCCATCTGTCATACACCTGCAAAACACATATTTTTCATTTCACTAGAACATGATAAAAGGGAAAAATATTACATCACATATAAAGATTAAGTTATTTCATCACATATAAAGTTCAAACATGATTTGGTTAGTTTACCTGTAAAGTGTAATTAATAAGGCATAAGACACTGAGTTCTTTTGTGGGATATACCGCCAAGGTCTCTTGTTTTTCTTCCCTAAAATGTTAGATGGTTAAATATCATCAGCAGCATATACACACACCATGCACATGAAACGGATTTGTGGGTAAAACCGAAAATGTCAATGCAAACAACCACTCTATCTACTTATCTAGACTAACCAAAATATCACTAAATGAAATTCATAAAAGAACTACATGTGTGTGTGATTAATGAAATTTTGAAGTATGCTTGAGCATTGATAGCTTACTTTTATCATCAGAGCTTTCATTCACAATAGCATCAACATCCTTCTGGAAAAACCCTTCCATTAACTTCAAAATCCACTTCCCCACTCCCCTGCATAAAATTTCAAAAACATTCTCACATAGTTGTCTTCACTGAGAGAGAGAGAGAGAGAGAGAGAAGAAACTCAATTTAACAATCAATTAAACATTGGTTTAGCTTACTTGATTTGGGAGAGGTCTCGCATGGTTTTGATATGAACTTTGCAGCCACATGCATTGGCGTACGCCCTGTTAATAGTCTTATCGATGTTTTCAGATATCCCTCTCTTACCTTCCGCCATCTCTTGCCTCTTTCTCCGCATGTACGCAACCAGTTCTTCATTTTCCGGACAGAGCACTTCTCTTTCTACCTCCATTTTCAGAGGCAATCTCACAGAAGAATCAACACAATTGGTTGGATGTGAACAGTTTCCCCTTTTTAACCCTAGTACAATTACTGGAGTTTCTTCATGAACAAAAAACGAAATGGAGCCAGACACTGTTCAAACGCCGACCTATCCCCGTACATTTAGCCGTTGCACGGCGGCGGTCACATCTGGTGGGAGAGTGGGGGAGTGGTTTCACCGCTTTCATACCATTTGGCTACAGTGCCTAAAATTTACAACATCTAAAATGCTTAAAATTTATAACATTTCTTCTTTATTTTGGGTAGAAGTTATTTTGAAAGTTTTTTTGGCATTCAAGGCGAGATAGAAGTGTTTTATGGAATGCGCAAAAAATGAAACAGGAAAGACTTTATTTATAGAGAAGTATCTATTTTTCACATTACACATTCTATATACTCCCCCCGTCCACAAATAAAGTTCTCACTTTCCTTTTCGGTCCGTCCATAAATAAAGTTCCCATTTCCTTTTTTGGTAACTTTTTTTTGTTAAAAAGACATATCTACCCTCACTTTCTTTTACTTTTCCTCACCTTTTTCCTTCTTTTTTCTGCTCTCGTTTCTTCTTTCTTTCTTCTCTTCTTTCTTCTTCCCCCCTCCCGATTTTTTCTTTATTTTCTTTTTCATTCTTCTTCTTTCTTCTTCCCCTCCTCCCGATTTTTCCTTTCTTTTCTTTTTCATTTCTTCTTTTCATCTTCTTCTCCCTCCCCTTCCCATTTTTCATTTCCTTTCATTTCTTCCCATTTTTCTTCTTTTTTTGTCCCCCAATCCAAATCTGAGAAATACGATTCAGATCTGTGAAAGAGGTCAACGGCGATGAAGAAATCTATTGTGGTGGTGGAGTACATTGATGATGGTGTATTGGATTCGAAAGAAGGAGCCCCAGACTTCTTCCTTCTTCGTCTTTTTTTTTGAAATTGAAGGAGCCAAAGGCGATGACGGTATAGCAGTGAGGCAGCGATCAGATTTGACAAGGGAAAGCAGCCACCGGAGCTAGTGGCGGAGCAGGGAGAGGTCTGTCGCCAATCCCATTGCAAAGAGAAGATGGATGGATAGGAAAAGAAGAAAGAGGTGGAGGGGCATTTTAGGGAAGTCAAAGAAAATTTCAATTTTTATTAAACTCCGTGCCAAGTCAAAGTGAGAACATTAATTTTGGACGGAGGGAGTATAAAAGACCAAAAGTTATCTGCTATAATAAAATATTAATAAAACTAAGGGGTTGTTTGTTTCAGCCTCTTAATGGTTCAGATGTCTGAATGGTTCAATACTTAATGGTTCAGACTGTTTGTTTCAGTCTCTTAATGGTTCAGATGTCTGAATAGTTAAGAGATTTGTCTCTGAATGGTTAAGTATTATACAGAGTTTGAATGGTTAAGACCTCTTATCTGAATTGATCAGACATTTGCCTCTGAATAGTTAAGCAATATACTAGCTCTTAATGGTTCAGACATCTTACTGGTTCAGCACTTAATGGTTCAGCACTTACCTATTCAGAAGTTGCCAAACAGCCACTAAGTACGACAACTAATTGAGTGGAGAGAGAAATGATAACTTGGTTTTTATTCCACACAAAGCAAAGAAATAAAAAGATAAAGCATATTAAATTTATAGGGAAGACGGAGAATAGCAGCTATGGTTGGAACACATATGAAAATAAGAACGTCCAAATCACTGTACATATTCTAAACTATGTTTATAGTTGTCTATTCTTAGCATCTCCACTAGAGATGCTCTTAAGAACCCATATATATATATATATATATATATATATATATATATATATATATATATATATATATATATA